CCTCTCCCGCTACAATTATTCCATCTCATCTATCTCCTTTGTATATACATATATCCTTCGTATATAAATATTTCATGTTTTTCCTTCTCAATAGTGCCCTATCCGTTCCCTTCTTTATTACCATTGATTCTCTTTTCTACTTTCATTTTGAACCACGACTTTTTTCCTTGTTTTCGAAAATTCAGCTACATTGTGGCATTTTTTATATTTAACTGTCTAGACCCTGTTTAAAATTTCTCTATACCTTTTTTATACCCGATAATCAATCCGATTGTCTTTATAGTTGCTAAAAGAAATAATTTTAATACGCAAACTGCATCATCTGGCATAGCAATTATACAGGGTGTTTATTAAGTACTTGTACTAACTTTAAAGGGTTTACAGGGTCGGAAAGTCCCCATGGTTCATCGGCCGTTACGTGAGAGCGATAAAGAAAGTCATAGAAATCCGTGCGATAGAGAAAGATAGCTATAATGAAGGCGTCTAATAGTCACCGCCCATTTCGCCCTTCCATAAATAAGATCCACTTCTCATGTGGGTATATTTAAATGATGGAGCACAAATATTTTTGTAAATTTTATAAATATTAGTTAGCTATACTTACATATTTGGTACAGTATTCTTTTCGTACTTGTCTACTTATAGTCTGTTTTCGAATGATATGGAGTAATAAAAGCTATTTTTTTTCATACGCAAATCTGTTCAAAATGAAGTGAAGGTGCTTGAGTACATCCGGTTTCGTATAGGTAGGTAGGTACTTAATCTTTCATAGTCTGTAGGTTATGTTCAATAAAAGTTTAGGGTAAGTATCCGTACTAGGACTGACTAAGGTAAATGTTTACCTCCTTGGGATTATAAAAGTTTGGAGATCCTTTACTTTACCAGGCAGAGTTAAGTACATATTTTACTTGTTTCATTAAATTATTTATAAAAATCACAGGGGAAATTAAAAAACTGGATGATTAATTAAGAATAATTCCACTATATACATTGAATTTAAAACACCAAACATACCAAATATTAAAAAAAAAACTTGTATTCTATTAACATTATAAATTTTTTTTGACATTGGGTAAGATTTTTTAGAAATAAAAAATGAATTAGTTTAATACGTTTATAATAAAGTAACAATATCGAATATTTGTCAAGGAATACGAACTTTTCATCTATACATATGCATGTTAAATTGCCAGTTGCTGAGAAAACATTAAAATATTCAATAATCGTATATGAACAAGTACAGAAGTAGTTTTTAGATGCTTATAACAACTTTACACTGATCCTACATTTTTTGCACGTGTATAATTTATATTTTGCTATTTCTGAAATAAAATATGCTCCAATAAAAATTGGAATCTTCGGAATTTCCAGACTTTTCCATGGTTATTTTAAGTAACTTTGGATGTGTTATGTTATGAATAGTCGTATTTCGAGGCAAAGGAGAGTGACATTGATTTTATTTTAAAAACTTTGAAACATGTCAAATTTAACAATGTTAAAAGAAAGTGAATCAATTGACATTTTGAGTCATTTTTTTGATAATATTTTAATAATGAAAATAGATTTTGGAAATGCTTTATCAACATTTCGAAATCATTGTCTTCAACACATATTTCATTTTTAATACCATAATAAACTCTCATCAAGAGAAAAAGAGGTGCTCTCCTGTTTTAAAACATTGGTGAAATCTTTCGGTTTTATTTTGAATGTTTACATTAGCAGGGCATACACATAAAGTTTTATCTACGGGATTTGGACCGCCACAGTTAAAACTGACAGATAAACTGGCTGTTAGTGGTGATTTGTTTACAAGTGTAGATCTGCAGTTTTAATGCGAAGACTAACAGTCAGTTTTTTCTGCGGACTCTTAAAAAGTAAAAAAGTAAAATAAAATCTGGAGACTTACCTGCTGGTAAGTAAAGACTCCGGGGAAATAATAATAAAATATTAGATTAAATTTGCATAAATATATGATAGAGCGTGCAGTACAAACACCTAAATATATATATATATAAAATTATAATTTATATATTTGTTTTAAGATCAAAATGTGTCAAGGGAATTTATCGAAGGATTTATCTCCATATACAGGGAACATCCTTGTTTGTGGCAAATAAAATGTAAAGAATACACCAACAAAAATTTGAAGGCAAGCAGGGCTTATGACAATTTAGTTACCTACTGTAAATCAAATGGATATTCGAATGCAAATGTATTAGTAGTATTGTATATATGCTAAAAGCGACATTAAAACTTTCAACTCGACGAAAGACCACAGTTTTGATGAACCCGCTTATAAAACTGTCAGATCAAATGCACTAACACACAGTTTTTACCGTAGTTTCAAAGACTAAAGGTTTATCTTTATGTGAGAAATGTGTGTTAATATAGAATATGTGGTTTTAACTGTGGCAGATCAGACCCAAAGATTTACCTGTGCCAGTCCAATCCGGCAGTTTTAACTTTATGTGTATGCCTTGCTAATACAAAGTGCTTGCTAAGAGTTATGGAATAAAAAACAAGCAGGTATTTATAAAAAATTCTATAACCTTATAAATGAAAGGATTACAGGTAATTTCGAATCGAAATTTTTCATTAATTTCAAATACAATCTGAACCAATCCAAATCGACTGGTTCAACAAAATCTAACATGACGCAAAAATGAGGAAATGAGAAAGTGTATTTTCATAAGAAATAGCATATTACAGATTTTAATAAAAATCATAACCAACACCATTATTTTGTAAAATGAATTATGCCATATTCTAGTTTCTAAATCCAATTCCCTGACAAAATATAATGACTTTTTTAATTCTGCGACTTTTCCAGAACTTCCAGGTTTTCCAGCACGATACATTGTATACATTACACTACTACTCTCGTTGTTTTATAAATTGATTACACTTTCCAGTGCGTTGGAAAACTTCAATAAACTGAAAACAATTCAAAGGAGTTTCATTTTCTCTTTAATTAAAATTTATTAGTTTATGAAAGTAATTCACTAATTTTAATGAATTTTGTAAAGTAAACTTCAGTTAAAATGAATGAATTTTGGCCCTGAAAGACCTTTTCAAAAATATTTATACCCAGCTACCTAACTTACATTCGGGTTTATTTTTGAGACCTACAAGATTAAAACTTCTTATTCTACTGTACAAATGTAGGACATTAAATATTATGGAGGCAAGTGCAAGCTTCTTCTACAAACACATCTGTTTCTGTTATTATAGAAACTAGTATTGTCTACACCCAAAAGGATGTCGGTAAAGACGAAAGTTATGTCAGGTAGAAAGAAATTAACTTTTATGTTGGATATAAATCCTACCTACGTTCCAGAAAAAAAAAAGAGTTAGTAGGTAGCTTTCATTAACTGTAAAATTGTCCAGATAAATTAATTCCTTTAATTGAATTATGAATATCGTGAAGGATATGGAACATAAACATTTTTGATTGTCAAACTTAAAACTATATCTTAGTGAAATATATTTTTTCTCTTCTACGCCATTGAAATTAGTCAATTTTATTTTAGCAAATTTAATTTCAGGTGTTAGGTATTTGTTTTTAGTAAATGTTAATTAAACACAATTCTTAAATCTGATATCGGAAACCATCAAATGATGATCAACTACAGAATGTTTAATTTAAACGTTACCCAGAATAACTTGGAAAGTTACTGTTAAGTAGTTGATATACATTAAGCAAGGTTTTAATGAGATACTGATAAGTCTGGCCTCATCCCCCTACCCTTCACAGCAACCCCTTTAAAATGGCATAGGGGTCAAATCTCTTCAACGTTTTTCGGTTGTCTACATAGCTGTATTATTTTAATAATAACTTATTTTCAGAAAAATAACACGTAATCAAACATCAAACATATTGTTCAAAGTTATCACTGCACTCGTACGCGTTCGACAATTTAGGTTTTTCTTATTTCTCTTTCCAGTTTTAGAAAGAAAACCCAGTTAAATTTTAACAAATGCAAGAGGCAATGTTCAGGGTGATTTACAAATGGTAACCAAAAATGAAACGTCGTTTCTTTGGTGAACTTTAAGGGGAATCTTTCCTATAAAGTTTTTATCTAGAACGCTGCTTCTTAAAAAGATACAGGGAGTTAAACTTATTAAAAATATTTTTAATTTTTTTAAATACATAATTTAAAAACTACTAAATGACATTGTCCAAAATCTGAGGGCTTCTCTTAAAATTTACATGCTCCAGTGGCGGAGGTACAGGGTATCGGTGGCATTTTTTTCTACATAAAATGGTACGCCACTGCTTTACGGTAACAACTATGATATTTTCGGATTCGTCTTTCAATTTTCTACAAATCACTACTCTCTTAAGTTTTTCGAAACAAGCCTGATTTTCGAGTAAAACTTAAAAAACCAATTGAACTTACTAGTTTTTAAATTATTTAAAAAAATAAATATATTTTTTGAAGTTTAACACCCTGTATCTTTTTAACGAAGCGTCCTAGATAAAAACTTTATAGGAAAGACTCGTCTTCAAATTCACCAAAAAATACGAGATTTAATTTTTGGTCACCATTGGTGAATCATCCTGTATAGACGATTTAATATGGCATTATTTGACCCTCTTTATTATTTATTTTTTAAAAGGGGAAGGTAGGGGGATGAGAATAGATAGAGAATGTATATTCGGTAAAAAAGTGTGCCTCTTAAAGATATTTTTAGTATTTCAGGATTTTTTCAGAAAATTATTACTTTTGAAGTTATTCGGGGTGGCTACATTTATTGGAATACCATGTGTGTCACAGTATTAAAATAATAAAATTCATTTTAGTTTAATATTTGTTGATACTATTTTCAAAACCCAATTTGTCAGCGACTTTGTAGTCGATTAACAGTGTCACACATTCATCAATTTAAATTTTGTCCATGCAAAATTTTGAACGATTTATGCTATATTATATTTTCGCAGTTTTTGGTCAAATTAATCATTTTTCATCAACATTATTAAAATAATGGAATTTACTAACCTGATTAAAATGTTGGCTGCCCGCTTTCTGAAAAAAAAAATGAGGAAACAAAATCAAAAACTTTGAACGAAGCAATTAAATAGAAATGATACACATTAAAGCAACACTGGATTATTTACAATTTTGTTCGAGGAGATTATATACAACTGAAATTAAGAATAGCAACATTTTAAGTCTGATGATAAGCGTATTTTTTAGTAATTATTATGTAGATAGATATTACAATGATTGTGTTACGTTAACATGCTTATGACAGTTAATTAAAAAAGACGAAAATATAAATAAGCGATAAAAGTGTATAAGTTTTAAAATTGTATGGTCACTATTGTATTGAACAACTAGAAGTATATTTTGACTGTAACATGTAGAGCAAAAATTTAGAAAACTATTTTTTCACAAATGTCTATTAAAAAAGTAATTTTCAAAATGGAAAAATATGTCAATTAATTCATCATGGATGAATTTCGCGTTGTTCTCCAAAATAATATAATTATTATAAATAAGAATATCAAATAATTTTTTACAAGTTTTGCAAAATTATTTAATAACTTGAGCAATTATTAGTCCGAGGTTAAAGGTATGGCTGTTATGGGAACATAGTTTTATAAGTGAAAATAAAAAATATGTATGTAGGTGTATCATAATCGTCGTCAATAATCCTATTTTGACGTAGATCATGTTACTTAATTATGAGCTTTTATAAATATATATGATTTTTAAAAGAGTTCCATATTACTACCAGTACAATTTCTTGGGCACGTAATTTTAGCTTTTTGGGGAGTTGCATATTAAAATGTTGAATACAGGGTGATTCACAAAAGTGACCAAAAAAGAAAACTCGTTTTGTTTGGAGAATTTTAAAGGGTCTTTCGTATAAAGTTTAATTAAAAAAATATTTTTAATTTTTTTAAATAATTTAAAAACTAGTAAGTGATATAATTTGAAATGTGGTAATAAATGTATTTATGTAAACATTGTCCAAAATCTAAGGCCTTATCCTAAAACTTTGATACTCCAGTGACGGAGATACAGGGTATCGGCGGCATATTTTTCTAAATGAAATAGTACGCTACTGCTTTGCGTTAACAATCATGATATTTTCGGATTCGTCTTACAATTTTGTATAAATTACTACTCTCATGATTTTCGAAAAAAAAAACTGATTTTCCAGTAAAACTTAAAAAAAACGGACTGAAAACACACTTCGTGTTTTACATAGAATGCTGCGATAGCAATTTTGATATTCTGATCAGTTAGAAGAAGGAAAAATAAAGCTTTCATCGTATTCAAGCAACAATAAATTTCGAACAAACTACATTTTCGTTACTAAAAAGATGTTGCACCTGTGTTTGTGGAAATGGAGGTATTCTTGAGCATTTGCTCAAATAAAATCATTAAAATTATGACTAATGTTATTAATCTCTTTATTCGAATAAATAACCAAACGATTAGTGTTTGTCATGTCATTTAACTAAAAGTGTTTCCAGTTCATTTTTTAAGTTTTAATCGAAAATCAAGCTTTTTTCGAAAAACATAAGAGTGTATTAATTTGTAGAAAATTGAAAGGCGAATCCGAAAATAGCATGATTGTTACCGTAAAGCAGTGGCGTACAATTTTTTTTAGAAAAATGTGCCACCGATATTCTGTATCTCCGCTACTGGAACATCTAAATTTTTGGAAAAGGCCTCAGGTTTTGTAAAATGTTTACATAAATACATGTGCCCAATTTCAAATTATTTCACTTACTAGTTTTTAAATTATTTAAAAAAATTAAAAACATTTTTCTAAGTTTAACATCCTGTATCTTTTTAACGAAACGTCCTAGATAAAAACTTTATACGAAAGACTCCCCTTAAAATTCACCAAAGAACACGAAGTTTCTTTTTTGGTCACCGTTTGTGAATCACCTTGTATATCTGGAGTCGGCTGGTAAGAAAACTAATAGTTATATTTTTCTTCAATACAAAAAACAAAGACAAACATAATGATTATATTCTTTAGTATATCTCGATATTTAATACAAAAGGGTGTTTACAAACTTGGCTGCATATCAAGATTGTTAAAACTAGTATATTTTAGGTTCAATTTTACTTAAATTTTCATTATGGAAACCTTTTATTGTTTAAGTTTCACTTTGTCATTAATTTTTTTAGATTTTTACTTTTAATTGTTTCCTTTTTTGCGACAAGAAAGTTTGTCTGGACCGGTAAACACACTAACAATTAATTAATGGACATAGACATAGAAGTAATGTCATGAAAACTGCAATTTAACTGCACATGTTTATTTACAGCAATGTGTGGAAATGTTGGTAAACAGAGCCGGACCAGTTATCCATGAAGTCAGCGGTTCCAAATATGTTTCTTCTTATTATTGCGATAAGTCAGTTGGTACTAGAAAAATATATATATTCTTTTCGGAAAAAATATATCTATTAGTCCAGATTTCGCATCCCCATTTATTTACTCTTCAAATATTCTCCCCAAGTTTGTAAACATACATACATAACATGTATAATTAAATTACTTAAATAAAACTACAAAAACTCAATAAAAAATTATACATTTTAAACTGGAAATTTTTTCTTTCGCTGGATCCTCAAAGTTTACTTAGCAGATGGGGGTGAATCTATACATTTCTTTTCTTTTTGAGTCAAATGTCGAAAAAGTTTTGAAACAACACATGTTAGAACAGGATCAATTTACAACGTCACTATTAGGTATATACGACCTTTGAAAAAGGTGCCGCTGTTACATCTTCTTGATATTTTCAGGATTCACGATAAAATAAAGTACCAAGGAGACGGCAACCCTGTCTAAGACCCTTCTCTTCGCCGAGCGAGGCGAAATAACAACCATATAGATCCCCTCGAGTCTCTGGGGTCGGGGCCCTTAGTAACACCGACCGAAACTTTGCTCTCACTGCTGTTCAGACCATTATTAGTATTCTTAGGGCAAACTTGGGAAGGCAGTTTTGATGCTTGGGTCTCATCAGAGACGACTTTGCTTCTGCGGTTTTGAGGACTAGCAAAATATACGACCAGACTTCGCCATTTGATGGTAATATACGCTATGTTGATTTCTTGTATTTCGATATAAAAATTATGTGCAGTTGGGGATAAAAATATAAGTATAAAACACGCTTACAAAAAAATAGTTGAATAAATGCGTAATCAAGTACATAGAAGGCATAAAAATCTTTAATAAGGTGAAACAAATGTAACAAAATGTAGTAATTCGATACAATGATACACAATATTAACATACAAAAACTTGCTGCTAGAAATACAGGGTGATCGAGAATGGTTGACCGTGCCGCCTCATACTGATTTTTGATGTGCGGCATACCAGTTTTTGATACCAATACTAGAATCATGAGCGCAGGTTGAGGGATTTTAATGGTAAACAAATAATTACGTTCAAACGTCAAATAAATTAGGTTACTGTCAAAATGGAAATTCATAATAAAAATATCAATTACTTAACAAAAATCAAAGTTATTTCACAAATTAAGCAATACTGATGGACCAATAAATGTTATTATTGTTATTATTATTAAAGAGGATGACAGAATCAAATGTAGGTTTAGCCTAACTTTTCCAAAATTCTTATTTCATTTACAATTAGAAAAACGTTTAAATCAAAGTTTGATGTAGCTAATTTTGAATAACAACTGTAAGTGCTTCAGCGATTTTATTTTTAAAAAGTTTTGAGTTAATTTTAAAAGAGAAGCACTATTGTGGCTACATTCTTGGCATCTAAGACGATTCAGCTATACAGCGATACGCTGCAAGCTGCCGTTTTTCATCAAAGCAAACTACTGTATGCTTATAAGACGACTATTTTGCAGCTACTGCTTTCACACTTCTGAATATCCAGCGCAAGCGATCCAGCCCAAAAATGTATGCTGAACATTTTAGTTAGCTGTCGAAATTCAGGAAAAGTGTCTTAAAAACGTTTGCTTCAAGCAAATGCAAGCAGTTGGAAGTGCTTGATTATGTTAGATGGTAGGATTGTCTGTATGACCGAGAGCAATAAACAACAGTTACATGTAATATGTAATAACAGAGTAATAGGAATTTTTTCACATTTTATTGAATATTTTACCTTAAAATTACATAAAATCCATAAAAATATCTATATTTTTACAATAAATGTTCAACATGATGTCCATTGTTGTTCAAGCAGGTATTAATTCTTCTTTTCATATTATTAAATACATTCTGTAAAACATTTTGTGTAATACTCCTAATTTCGTTTGTAATTGCCTCTTGAAGTTCTTCAATCGTGTGTAACCGTTGAGCAAATACTGAATTTTTTTAAAAACCAAATAAATAATAGTCCAGGGGTGTAAGGTCAGGAGAACGTGGTGGCCATCTATCTCGACTAATTATTCGATCATCATAATACTCTAATCAACTCTAAAGTTTCGTTAGAGGTGTGAGCTATTGTGCCATCTTGCTGAAAGTATCCTCTGTAAGAATAGACTTTCTGCCTGGAGATTTTCCTCTACAAACACTTCCAGTGTTATGGAAGCGTTCCACTAATCTCTTCCTGTGTCTCGAAAAAATTTCATAATCATCAATTTCATCATTTGGAAATTGTTCTTGAAATTGTAAATGACAAGAATTCATCGAATATTTCCAACCATTACCATTGTTTTGTCCACTACGAAAATAGGCCTCCAGAAGAAATTTATCATGTTCTAATGAAAATGCCATGTTAACCTAAATTAAAAAACCGATTAGGTTAGGGAACAACATACGCAATAAATTAATTACTCACATATAATATCCACCTACTCTAACTGTAGTATTGAAAAATACTGTCTTATAATGTCGCAAAATATATGAGGTAACAACAAAATCTACAAAATAATATTCAAGCCAAAAAATCCGTGCGCCAATGAACAGAACGTCAAATTGTGAAATCGCCACAGAATACCATGAAATCGCACGGAAAAAAAGTAATTTTAGCAAACGGAAATCAGTTTTGATAGCAATTGAGACAGGGTACGTTCAGAATCC